GAAGATCCTAGATTTGGGCATGTTATGTAAAGTTTTCTCGGCATTTATGTAAATAATTCCTTCATATGTAATATTTTACTAATTGAAAAGAATGCAAATGTTTCATTGCTGTTTAGTTAAATAATTTTCAAAAACTTGTTGCAGTATTAAAGTTTTGCTTGTTATGTGTAGGAAGAATATATTTTACTGCATATTGGTATACACATTCCAATACGTTTTTAGTATGCAGTATGTTGTTTTTATCAATTATTTGAGATGAGATATATATACAAGAGTTGTTACATTCTTGTACAGCCACTAGTACGCGTAGCGTTTCGGGCAAGTCCTTAATCCTACGGTCCCTGGAATACGATCCCCGCCGCGAAGAATCGTTTTTTCATCCAAGTACACATTTTACTGTTGCGTTAAACAGAGGCTACAGTTAAGGAATTGCGCCCATTAAATCCTCCCCGGCCAGGATACGAACCCATGACATAGCGCTCGCGGAACGCCAGGCGAGTGTCTTACCACTACACCACGGAGACTGCATGTCTTATGTTTTTTATAATAAGCTTCCTAGAAGGTTATAACAGATCCCATGAGCACCACACCAGAAACAAATACCTATTTGATATTCCAAGAGTACGACTTAGTTAAACTAGAAATGCTTTACATATCAAGGGACCTCGAATGTGGCCTTCCCAATTATGTTAAAGACTGTACCTCTCCCAACCAGTTTAAGTTAAAAACTAAGTACTACCTAATTAACTCAATGTAACCTTCCTCACCCCCAAAATGTCAACCCATCTCTTCTATTTAAAACAATGTTGTTTGTTGACCAAATTGTATTTTACTTTTTTCTGCCATGTTTCACCCCCCCCTCCCCCTCCGTTTTTTTTCCATTTTTTTCTTATTTTTTCTCCACACAATTTATACTTTAATCTCTTTTAGTATTAAGTTTTAGTCTTAGTGTTTTTCCTGCCCGAAACACTTTGCGTAATAGTGGCTTTAGGCATTGTATGTACTAGCTCTATCTATAAATCCATCTACTTTTGTATCTTACCTTGTATGTATGTACTTTACCTGAATACATAATTGTATTTGTATTTGTAATAGGTAGATGATACAGAAAGCAGTACAATGTCTGTCACAAATCCTTTTACTGCGGCAGCATTAAGACCACAAGTCAGTAGAATAAATATGCCTGGAAGATCGACCCCAGCCAGCATACTAGCAGGTAAAAAAACTTTAATCAGCTTTTAACAAAATTACAAATAAAGATGTGTTATGTTATGTCATTGTGTTAGGTTAGCCTAGCTATTATTTCCAATTTGTTTTTAATTTGTATTAGTATGCAGTACTAGGCTATTGTAACAAATTGGAATGTACAACGTCCAATATTTTTCTGGTAGATTCGTTCTTGGCTCCTGAAAACTATCTTTACTTACCAGATGTGCCAAGAATAACTCCGGACAATAATGATGGTATTGTTTATAAAATCATTTGATTATGGCCTTTATAATACATTAATATCAAAGTTTACAACCTTGTGTAATACAGTAAGTCTTTGTTTTAACAATAACAACAGAATTTTTTTTCTATGCTCAGCATAATTGGCTTGAAATCCATCATCCCATTATAATTTCTATCACTTTGATCATTGGTTTAGACAATTACATCAAAACATTTAATGTAGCTTCTCTTGCTCCAGTTATAATGTGTCCTATTGAGAATGTATATTTTTTTAACAGAAGGTCTCCAGACACTAGCAGTTTTAGCTAAAGAGAACCTTCATCGTGAATATTTGAAAATAAACTCAGCTCTCCAGAAAAAATGTGAATATATGAAGCGAAGTTTAAATATTGAGGACCTAAATTATCTGAAGCCTTCAAACAAGAAAGGAAAAGGAGAAAATTACTGCAGGATTATTGAAATCAATCAAACACAACGTTCAAACTTATCAGAAGGTAATTTTTTATTTAGTTATTTATTCCATGACCCATGTTTGTGTGTTCCTATATCATAGTATAATGATAGGTTTAATTGCTAGTGTAGATTTCATTTTGCCTCAGACTTAAAATTATTTAGGTTTTTGGTGTTTTATTATTCAAAATTTGTTTATAGATAATCCAAGGTTATAGTCAACTTCTCCTTTGAAAACAGATATTTACCTGAATGCCACAAACTCTAGCTAGTAGCCTAGAAGAGTACAGGAAGCCCGCAGCTTGTCGAAATTCCCCCCATTTGCCTTTATGATCTTTTTTTGGGTATATTTAGAAATTCAGTACAGTTTTGGCAATTACAGCTCTGGTGGGTAGGCAGTTCCATGTGTTAATAACCCTCTGGGTCAAAAATAATTTCCTGCTGTCAGCCCTACATTTTGGTGTGTTGAACTTGAAACCGTTGCTCTTTGTTTGTATTACATCTGAACCAAACTAGCCAAACTTTTTTTGATAATGTCATTGACTGCTTCATATCTGGCAATCTTTCCCTGTGTCTTATGACAGATTAGGCCATGGCTGCCATATTGGTCTGCCCTTGCATAGCCGCAAATACACCGGTGTTCGGTGGAGATAGGGGCAGCGATGGTCATAAGACAGCAAAAAAATGTAGATAGTTTACAAATTAAAAATAGATAAAGTGTTGTGGAATTACCATACTTAAAGGTTGATTTTCTGCCAAACAGCCCTTCTGCCTGCTTCTCTTTCACCTCCACACATTCAAAGTTCTGACTTCTCAACTAGTGTACCAACATATACTCAAACATATTTACCAGCTGCAGAACAAACAGTAAAATCATTGAATTCTGGTACGTCCCTATTTGAACTATGTAATGTAATATAATCTTAGTACCTAGTATCTACTATATATATATATATATATATATATATATATATATATATATATATATATATATATATATATATATATATATATATATATATATATATATATATATATATATATATATATATATATATATATATATATATATATATATATATATATATATATATATATATATATCATAGTCTAACTAACACATTACTGAAAGCTGTCAGTTGTTCGAGATGCTTATATAATATGTATAAAATACACTTTTATTTATTACATCTATTTGCTCTTGAAGATTTTCCTGACTAATTTAGAATCCCATATTTCAAAGTACTTGCTGCAGAACTGGAGGAAATTTATGATTCTCAAGCAAGCATTTCTGATTGGCAAAAAAGAAGAAAAAATAGTGAGATTAAATGGGGAGAACGTAGGTCAATGTTGTTTAGCTGGACATTGTCGAAGTTGGGTGTTCCAGATAAAGGTAAATAACATCTTTAGTGTGTAATTATGGATAAATTTCAATGTAATTATGAAATGCATGATTAATGTCAATCTCTGAATACACTTAGATGTTTGTCATTTTTAAACTTGGTATACAATATTTCTAAATCCAGTATTACCATTCAAAGTACATAATTACATTATTTTTTGGAAAACCAGGCAAGTGTTGTGTACAATGTAGAAGTTGTGAGGCAAGCATAAAATGTGAAGACTGCTTTCATTTTTTGTGACATAAATGTGATCTGCAGCAGCATTTTGTAATGCCTTTCCACCAGCGATTCTGCTGGAAAAATGGGTTCTTCGAGCCTTTAGACCCAACACAAACTGTGTGTTCAGATGGGAATGTCATTCACTGGAGTAAGTAATGTACCTGTAGTCTGTTTCTTATACTCTCATTTCTATCCTGAACCAAGCAGTGTTTTAAAATTTTATTTAGTTCACGTAATTTTTTTAGTAGTTTTTGTATTGGTCATTTTCCTCATTAATTATTGATTACCTCATTACTTACAGATTTTTAGTTAAATAAATGAATTTTTATTTGTTATTAAATATAAATTTTTCATGTAACTCCAGTTAATGCTAAAAAAATTATTAGTAATTTAAAATGTAATGATTGAAACATGTATTTATTTTGCTGCATAGCTTATCTTGTAAATTTAATTGTTACCAGAGCCTGTTGTACCAGCACATCCACCTAATTCCTGCCCGAACTGCAGTGAGAGCAAGTTCACAACTTTAAGCTCCAATAATTTGTGCATCTTTGTAACTTTAAGTGGTAGGTTACTTTATGAAACATTTATTTGATACTAGTATTGGTAGCTGGCATTGCTCAGGTGACCCAGGCTACAGTCTTCATCAATATAACCATTTATACTTCACTCTCTTTACCACTGTATCTTCACTTATGAAGACGTATTTATATCACATACGTATTTATAACCATACAGAGAATTGTTTATGGGTTGGTTTACACATATATTGATAGCCACACTTGAATCCCTTGCCAAATAAAATTGTTTTACTTCAATTTTTTGTATTTTTTTGTGGGGGGGCAGGAAGGTATGATCTGTATACCCCAATATTTAGGTGCAATTGCGGATATGTAGATGAAGAACTTGGGAAAGCCATGCACCAGTCTGGTTTTTATTCAACTGGAAGAAATAGTAGCACTTTCTACAGCATAAATCTATTGGATTCCTGGCATTTTCTCAAGAGAAGCAGCCCTGGAACTTCTCTTCAGGCATTAGTTAGTGCACTGGAATTATTTGGTGCTTCTCGAGGGCGTGTAAGTTTTCATACCATTACTGTTTTAATAGTGCAAGTATTAAATTGGTGTATAAACTTAAAAACTAAGTTTGTTACTAAGCAAATGCATTGTCATTATTTAAGAAATAGGGTTAAATATTATTAAATTAATAAATAGCATGAATATTCTAAATATATATTTTATATATGTCTAATATCATAAGAAATGGAAATGGATTACCAATCTTTAACAATTTCTCTTTTTATGTAATGCTCATGTAAGTTTATTTTCATTTCCTGCAGGTATTTATAGTCTGTTGCTTAACATGCCACTGCTTGGCACTTTTTGATAATTACTTACACACATTTTACATCTTAGCATGGTCCCATCAATTTGGAGACAAAAAAAAGAGTCTTCTTTGAATGGCGTTTCCATCAGTATGAACTTGGGAGAATATAAGGAGAATTTGACAAGGGGTGCCCTGCATGTGATACAACACCTGTGGCTGTACATATTGATGGCAACAAGAAACTGTATCGTTACAACAAAGTTGGGAGGTAAATATTCAAGTTAAAATATTTAATGCTGCTCATTATTGTTAAGGTATAATGTAAGGTGTAGTAATATGTTTGTAGTACTATAAACACAGCACTGTATAATATTTATATAGTGTCATGCAACTTTTAATCAGATTTTTTTTAATTCTTAACTGATTACACCTTTATTACTTGCCTTTCAACTTCAGTTGAATATTTTTATTTGGACTAAGGCTTTACTAATTAAAAAATATTTATTTCACTATATACATTCATTTAGAATAGGAGGGATTATGATGTGAATGCCAGCTTGGGTAGTTGAATTAGTTTTAAGTGAAATGATGTTTAACCGTCATCAAAATGTCTCGCAATGAACATTCATTAATTTAATATCATTCCAGAGGGATCAGAAACTCATATTATTCTGGTGGTATCTTCGCTTGTGACAAAGAAGTTCAAGATCACGTTTCCACTATTCAGAACCTTAAAACTCAAGTAAGAATATTTTTACATCTGTTCGAAAGCCTAAAAATAGGTTTTCAAATAGAAACCTAAGACCTAATACCAGGTTTTTACCCATACAATATTTGAAGAGTACCTTTGTATATTAGCTTGAGACATTATCAATAATGTATATTAATTGGACGGTTCCTAACTATATCATGTTAAAAAAAATCTATAAAATATATGGAATGCATATTGAATGATGAAAAATATTACATAAAAAAACTTACATTTATATACGACTAATATATATATATATATATATATATATATATATATATATATATATATATATATATATATATATATATATATATATATATATATATATATATATATATATATATATATATATATATATTATATCACTAAGAACTCTTTGACCCGGCCAGGATTCGAACCCATGCCGTCCAGGATCACCCCTAAACGTACACAGTACCGTGACCACCGCACCAATGATCGTCTAAGACGATCATTGGTGCGTGCATTGGTGCATTGGTGCATTGGTTAATATATATCTTAGACGTCTAAGACGATCATTGGTGCGGTGGTCACGGTACTGTGTACGTTTAGGGGTGATCCTGGACGGCATGGGTTCGAATCCTGGCCGGGTCAAAGAGTTCTTAGTGATATATGGCTTGCGCGTTCATGCAGCTTTCTCACATATATATTATATATATATATATATATATATATATATATATATATATATATATATATATATATATATATATATATATATATATATATATATATATATATATATATGCGAACAAGCCTGAATGGTCCCCAGGACATATGCAACTGAAAACTCACACCCCAGAAGTGACTCGAACCCATACTCCCAGAAGCAACGCATCTGGTATGTACAAGACGCCTTAATCCACTTGACCATCACGACAGGACAAAATGAGGTGATAGCCGAGGCTATTTGAACCACCCCACCGCCGGCACTCGGATAGTTATCTTGGGCATAGCATTTTACCAAATCACCTCATTCTTTGGGGCAACACGTGAGGAACACAAATGCGAACAAGCCTGAATGGTCCCCAGGACATATGCAACTGAAAACTCACACCCCAGAAGTGACTCGAACCCATACTCCCAGAAGCAACGCATCTGGTATGTACAAGACGCCTTAATCCACTTGACCATCACCAGATGCGTTGCTTCTGGGAGTATGGGTTCGAGTCACTTCTGGGGTGTGAGTTTTCAGTTGCATATGTCCTGGGGACCATTCAGGCTTGTTCGCATTTGTGTTCCTCACGTGTTGCCCCAAAGAATGAGGTGATTTGGTAAAATGCTATGCCCAAGATAACTATCCGAGTGCCGGCGGTGGGGTGGTTCAAATAGCCTCGGCTATCACCTCATTTTGTCCGGTCGTGATGGTCAAGTGGATTAAGGCGTCTTGTACATACCAGATGCGTTGCTTCTGGGAGTATGGGTTCGAGTCACTTCTGGGGTGTGAGTTTTCAGTTGCATATGTCCTGGGGACCATTCAGGCTTGTTCGCATTTGTGTTCCTCACGTGTTGCCCCAAAGAATGAGGTGATTTGGTAAAATGCTATGCCCAAGATAACTATCCGAGTGCCGGCGGTGGGGTGGTTCAAATAGCCTCGGCTATCACCTCATTTTGTCCGGTCGTGATGGTCAAGTGGATTAAGGCGTCTTGTACATACCAGATGCGTTGCTTCTGGGAGTATGGGTTCGAGTCACTTCTGGGGTGTGAGTTTTCAGTTGCATATGTCCTGGGGACCATTCAGGCTTGTTCGCATTTGTGTTCCTCACGTGTTGCCCCAAAGAATGAGGTGATTTGGTAAAATGCTATGCCCAAGATAACTATCCGAGTGCCGGCGGTGGGGTGGTTCAAATAGCCTCGGCTATCACCTCATTTTGTCCGGTCGTGATGGTCAAGTGGATTAAGGCGTCTTGTACATACCAGATGCGTTGCTTCTGGGAGTATGGGTTCGAGTCACTTCTGGGGTGTGAGTTTTCAGTTGCATATGTCCTGGGGACCATTCAGGCTTGTTCGCATTTGTGTTCCTCACGTGTTGCCCCAAAGAATGAGGTGATTTGGTAAAATGCTATGCCCAAGATAACTATCCGAGTGCCGGCGGTGGGGTGGTTCAAATAGCCTCGGCTATCACCTCATTTTGTCCGGTCGTGATGGTCAAGTGGATTAAGGCGTCTTGTACATACCAGATGCGTTGCTTCTGGGAGTATGGGTTCGAGTCACTTCTGGGGTGTGAGTTTTCAGTTGCATATGTCCTGGGGACCATTCAGGCTTGTTCGCATTTGTGTTCCTCACGTGTTGCCCCAAAGAATGAGGTGATTTGGTAAAATGCTATGCCCAAGATAACTATCCGAGTGCCGGCGGTGGGGTGGTTCAAATAGCCTCGGCTATCACCTCATTTTGTCCGGTCGTGATGGTCAAGTGGATTAAGGCGTCTTGTACATACCAGATGCGTTGCTTCTGGGAGTATGGGTTCGAGTCACTTCTGGGGTGTGAGTTTTCAGTTGCATATGTCCTGGGGACCATTCAGGCTTGTTCGCATTTGTGTTCCTCACGTGTTGCCCCAAAGAATGAGGTGATTTGGTAAAATGCTATGCCCAAGATAACTATCCGAGTGCCGGCGGTGGGGTGGTTCAAATAGCCTCGGCTATCACCTCATTTTGTCCGGTCGTGATGGTCAAGTGGATTAAGGCGTCTTGTACATACCAGATGCGTTGCTTCTGGGAGTATGGGTTCGAGTCACTTCTGGGGTGTGAGTTTTCAGTTGCATATGTCCTGGGGACCATTCAGGCTTGTTCGCATTTGTGTTCCTCACGTGTTGCCCCAAAGAATGAGGTGATTTGGTAAAATGCTATGCCCAAGATAACTATCCGAGTGCCGGCGGTGGGGTGGTTCAAATAGCCTCGGCTATCACCTCATTTTGTCCGGTCGTGATGGTCAAGTGGATTAAGGCGTCTTGTACATACCAGATGCGTTGCTTCTGGGAGTATGGGTTCGAGTCACTTCTGGGGTGTGAGTTTTCAGTTGCATATGTCCTGGGGACCATTCAGGCTTGTTCGCATTTGTGTTCCTCACGTGTTGCCCCAAAGAATGAGGTGATTTGGTAAAATGCTATGCCCAAGATAACTATCCGAGTGCCGGCGGTGGGGTGGTTCAAATAGCCTCGGCTATCACCTCATTTTGTCCGGTCGTGATGGTCAAGTGGATTAAGGCGTCTTGTACATACCAGATGCGTTGCTTCTGGGAGTATGGGTTCGAGTCACTTCTGGGGTGTGAGTTTTCAGTTGCATATGTCCTGGGGACCATTCAGGCTTGTTCGCATTTGTGTTCCTCACGTGTTGCCCCAAAGAATGAGGTGATTTGGTAAAATGCTATGCCCAAGATAACTATCCGAGTGCCGGCGGTGGGGTGGTTCAAATAGCCTCGGCTATCACCTCATTTTGTCCGGTCGTGATGGTCAAGTGGATTAAGGCGTCTTGTACATACCAGATGCGTTGCTTCTGGGAGTATGGGTTCGAGTCACTTCTGGGGTGTGAGTTTTCAGTTGCATATGTCCTGGGGACCATTCAGGCTTGTTCGCATTTGTGTTCCTCACGTGTTGCCCCAAAGAATGAGGTGATTTGGTAAAATGCTATGCCCAAGATAACTATCCGAGTGCCGGCGGTGGGGTGGTTCAAATAGCCTCGGCTATCACCTCATTTTGTCCGGTCGTGATGGTCAAGTGGATTAAGGCGTCTTGTACATACCAGATGCGTTGCTTCTGGGAGTATGGGTTCGAGTCACTTCTGGGGTGTGAGTTTTCAGTTGCATATGTCCTGGGGACCATTCAGGCTTGTTCGCATTTGTGTTCCTCACGTGTTGCCCCAAAGAATGAGGTGATTTGGTAAAATGCTATGCCCAAGATAACTATCCGAGTGCCGGCGGTGGGGTGGTTCAAATAGCCTCGGCTATCACCTCATTTTGTCCGGTCGTGATGGTCAAGTGGATTAAGGCGTCTTGTACATACCAGATGCGTTGCTTCTGGGAGTATGGGTTCGAGTCACTTCTGGGGTGTGAGTTTTCAGTTGCATATGTCCTGGGGACCATTCAGGCTTGTTCGCATTTGTGTTCCTCACGTGTTGCCCCAAAGAATGAGGTGATTTGGTAAAATGCTATGCCCAAGATAACTATCCGAGTGCCGGCGGTGGGGTGGTTCAAATAGCCTCGGCTATCACCTCATTTTGTCCGGTCGTGATGGTCAAGTGGATTAAGGCGTCTTGTACATACCAGATGCGTTGCTTCTGGGAGTATGGGTTCGAGTCACTTCTGGGGTGTGAGTTTTCAGTTGCATATGTCCTGGGGACCATTCAGGCTTGTTCGCATTTGTGTTCCTCACGTGTTGCCCCAAAGAATGAGGTGATTTGGTAAAATGCTATGCCCAAGATAACTATCCGAGTGCCGGCGGTGGGGTGGTTCAAATAGCCTCGGCTATCACCTCATTTTGTCCGGTCGTGATGGTCAAGTGGATTAAGGCGTCTTGTACATACCAGATGCGTTGCTTCTGGGAGTATGGGTTCGAGTCACTTCTGGGGTGTGAGTTTTCAGTTGCATATGTCCTGGGGACCATTCAGGCTTGTTCGCATTTGTGTTCCTCACGTGTTGCCCCAAAGAATGAGGTGATTTGGTAAAATGCTATGCCCAAGATAACTATCCGAGTGCCGGCGGTGGGGTGGTTCAAATAGCCTCGGCTATCACCTCATTTTGTCCGGTCGTGATGGTCAAGTGGATTAAGGCGTCTTGTACATACCAGATGCGTTGCTTCTGGGAGTATGGGTTCGAGTCACTTCTGGGGTGTGAGTTTTCAGTTGCATATGTCCTGGGGACCATTCAGGCTTGTTCGCATTTGTGTTCCTCACGTGTTGCCCCAAAGAATGAGGTGATTTGGTAAAATGCTATGCCCAAGATAACTATCCGAGTGCCGGCGGTGGGGTGGTTCAAATAGCCTCGGCTATCACCTCATTTTGTCCGGTCGTGATGGTCAAGTGGATTAAGGCGTCTTGTACATACCAGATGCGTTGCTTCTGGGAGTATGGGTTCGAGTCACTTCTGGGGTGTGAGTTTTCAGTTGCATATGTCCTGGGGACCATTCAGGCTTGTTCGCATTTGTGTTCCTCACGTGTTGCCCCAAAGAATGAGGTGATTTGGTAAAATGCTATGCCCAAGATAACTATCCGAGTGCCGGCGGTGGGGTGGTTCAAATAGCCTCGGCTATCACCTCATTTTGTCCGGTCGTGATGGTCAAGTGGATTAAGGCGTCTTGTACATACCAGATGCGTTGCTTCTGGGAGTATGGGTTCGAGTCACTTCTGGGGTGTGAGTTTTCAGTTGCATATGTCCTGGGGACCATTCAGGCTTGTTCGCATTTGTGTTCCTCACGTGTTGCCCCAAAGAATGAGGTGATTTGGTAAAATGCTATGCCCAAGATAACTATCCGAGTGCCGGCGGTGGGGTGGTTCAAATAGCCTCGGCTATCACCTCATTTTGTCCGGTCGTGATGGTCAAGTGGATTAAGGCGTCTTGTACATACCAGATGCGTTGCTTCTGGGAGTATGGGTTCGAGTCACTTCTGGGGTGTGAGTTTTCAGTTGCATATGTCCTGGGGACCATTCAGGCTTGTTCGCATTTGTGTTCCTCACGTGTTGCCCCAAAGAATGAGGTGATTTGGTAAAATGCTATGCCCAAGATAACTATCCGAGTGCCGGCGGTGGGGTGGTTCAAATAGCCTCGGCTATCACCTCATTTTGTCCGGTCGTGATGGTCAAGTGGATTAAGGCGTCTTGTACATACCAGATGCGTTGCTTCTGGGAGTATGGGTTCGAGTCACTTCTGGGGTGTGAGTTTTCAGTTGCATATGTCCTGGGGACCATTCAGGCTTGTTCGCATTTGTGTTCCTCACGTGTTGCCCCAAAGAATGAGGTGATTTGGTAAAATGCTATGCCCAAGATAACTATCCGAGTGCCGGCGGTGGGGTGGTTCAAATAGCCTCGGCTATCACCTCATTTTGTCCGGTCGTGATGGTCAAGTGGATTAAGGCGTCTTGTACATACCAGATGCGTTGCTTCTGGGAGTATGGGTTCGAGTCACTTCTGGGGTGTGAGTTTTCAGTTGCATATGTCCTGGGGACCATTCAGGCTTGTTCGCATTTGTGTTCCTCACGTGTTGCCCCAAAGAATGAGGTGATTTGGTAAAATGCTATGCCCAAGATAACTATCCGAGTGCCGGCGGTGGGGTGGTTCAAATAGCCTCGGCTATCACCTCATTTTGTCCGGTCGTGATGGTCAAGTGGATTAAGGCGTCTTGTACATACCAGATGCGTTGCTTCTGGGAGTATGGGTTCGAGTCACTTCTGGGGTGTGAGTTTTCAGTTGCATATGTCCTGGGGACCATTCAGGCTTGTTCGCATTTGTGTTCCTCACGTGTTGCCCCAAAGAATGAGGTGATTTGGTAAAATGCTATGCCCAAGATAACTATCCGAGTGCCGGCGGTGGGGTGGTTCAAATAGCCTCGGCTATCACCTCATTTTGTCCGGTCGTGATGGTCAAGTGGATTAAGGCGTCTTGTACATACCAGATGCGTTGCTTCTGGGAGTATGGGTTCGAGTCACTTCTGGGGTGTGAGTTTTCAGTTGCATATGTCCTGGGGACCATTCAGGCTTGTTCGCATTTGTGTTCCTCACGTGTTGCCCCAAAGAATGAGGTGATTTGGTAAAATGCTATGCCCAAGATAACTATCCGAGTGCCGGCGGTGGGGTGGTTCAAATAGCCTCGGCTATCACCTCATTTTGTCCGGTCGTGATGGTCAAGTGGATTAAGGCGTCTTGTACATACCAGATGCGTTGCTTCTGGGAGTATGGGTTCGAGTCACTTCTGGGGTGTGAGTTTTCAGTTGCATATGTCCTGGGGACCATTCAGGCTTGTTCGCATTTGTGTTCCTCACGTGTTGCCCCAAAGAATGAGGTGATTTGGTAAAATGCTATGCCCAAGATAACTATCCGAGTGCCGGCGGTGGGGTGGTTCAAATAGCCTCGGCTATCACCTCATTTTGTCCGGTCGTGATGGTCAAGTGGATTAAGGCGTCTTGTACATACCAGATGCGTTGCTTCTGGGAGTATGGGTTCGAGTCACTTCTGGGGTGTGAGTTTTCAGTTGCATATGTCCTGGGGACCATTCAGGCTTGTTCGCATTTGTGTTCCTCACGTGTTGCCCCAAAGAATGAGGTGATTTGGTAAAATGCTATGCCCAAGATAACTATCCGAGTGCCGGCGGTGGGGTGGTTCAAATAGCCTCGGCTATCACCTCATTTTGTCCGGTCGTGATGGTCAAGTGGATTAAGGCGTCTTGTACATACCAGATGCGTTGCTTCTGGGAGTATGGGTTCGAGTCACTTCTGGGGTGTGAGTTTTCAGTTGCATATGTCCTGGGGACCATTCAGGCTTGTTCGCATTTGTGTTCCTCACGTGTTGCCCCAAAGAATGAGGTGATTTGGTAAAATGCTATGCCCAAGATAACTATCCGAGTGCCGGCGGTGGGGTGGTTCAAATAGCCTCGGCTATCACCTCATTTTGTCCGGTCGTGATGGTCAAGTGGATTAAGGCGTCTTGTACATACCAGATGCGTTGCTTCTGGGAGTATGGGTTCGAGTCACTTCTGGGGTGTGAGTTTTCAGTTGCATATGTCCTGGGGACCATTCAGGCTTGTTCGCATTTGTGTTCCTCACGTGTTGCCCCAAAGAATGAGGTGATTTGGTAAAATGCTATGCCCAAGATAACTATCCGAGTGCCGGCGGTGGGGTGGTTCAAATAGCCTCGGCTATCACCTCATTTTGTCCGGTCGTGATGGTCAAGTGGATTAAGGCGTCTTGTACATACCAGATGCGTTGCTTCTGGGAGTATGGGTTCGAGTCACTTCTGGGGTGTGAGTTTTCAGTTATATATATATATATATATATATATATATATATATATATATATATATATATATATATATATATATATATATATATATATATATATATATATATATATATATATATATATATATATATATATATATAAATTTTACTTTTGTCCAACAGAGTAGCCATATGTGTGGAGTGTCGACATTGAAAGCTGCCAAAAATAAACCTGTTTCATTTAGAAGTTTGGATGAAACCGGCATAAGCATGGCTTCCTGTCGACATGGAATTATTCTTGCTGCATTAAATATGTATCAGGGAGAGCTCTACAGTTATGCCCACTATTTGCAAATGAACCGTTTACAAAATGTGTCCTTCATATGCCAGGATATCATCTGTAAATACTGGCCATGGGCCTTAAAGATTTCATCAAGAGAACAGAAGTTCTCACTTGGGCAAGGAAAGCCTTTTTTAGGAGTCCTACATGCCAAAGGACATTCTTGGTATTGTCAGGTAAATAATCTAATACTGTAATAATATTTTGACTTCGTTTTACTGTAAGTTGGAAAATATAATGTCTTTTAATCTCTTATATGTAAGGATTTATCTATGTTAAATGCAAATTGTTAATACAGTAGGTAGTTTTTAACAAACGTTATGCTATTATGTCAAAGGTTTTGTATGGAGGGCGGTGGCAAGAAGGAAGTGGCCTGACATCTGGGGAGGAGGCAGAGCAAGTATTTTCCTACCTTTCAAGATATAACAATAACACTAAGAACATGTTTAAAGCTGTTATGTGTTAATTTTTATTTAATCTAGTTCTAAATTTTGTACCTTTCAATCAAATCAGTGCAATGGTATTATTTGATGGTTATATATGTATCCAGATAATGTTATAAAATAATATAAGAATATAGGAAATTGCAGAAAGGCATTTTGGCTCATATAAAGTAGCATTATACTCATATGCAACCAACATATACATGTATAATCCTTGTTTGAAAAATCAAGTTGTCCCTGTTTTTATGCTTTCTTTCACATCCTGATATTTTTAATCTTATTACTCTACCACTATTTTTGAGCTCTTTGTTTCCTCTGAAATAACAATTAATTCATTCCACTTAAGACAGCATCAATATCATCATCCTTTTACTTTCCAATCAGTATTTTGAGACACAGTATTAAGATGTCAATGAATAACTAAATTTATTTCCACAGAGCGTACAGAAGAACTGACAGAGGGGGCACTCTTTTGGAATCACAGAAAAATTAATGGAATGCCTCGGGCATTAGTTGCCAGATTCAGAAAGGTATTAACATATGAATTGTTCTATACAATGAAAATATAGAATTATATATAAATATACAATTGTTCTATACAATGAATCAAGTGTATATACATGTTTTTATTTATCTTTAATCTTATTATAAGACATAGGTATTTTCTTCTCATAGACAAAGTAAAATTGGATAAAAACCCACTTGTGTATTTGGGAAATTTATGTAAAGAATTACACCAAGTCTTTCACACACTCCTTGGTGCTTTGTCAAGGTCTGAATCTGAAAAACACATACTCAGACCTTGACAAAGCACTAAGGATAGTTCAAAAGACTTTGTTTAACTCTGAACATAAATTTTACAATAAATATGATGGCATTTATTTTTAAATAGGCCACAAAGACAGCTGCAGCAGTTTTAAATGAGATTCACAGGCTTAATGTCCCAGAATCTGTTATTGAGAAATGGAGATCAGAATTACTGATCATTGCAAGATCCTTAAATAACAGATCCTCTGCCAATAACATTGAGCATACTATCGAGGCATATGGAGAGAATATAAGGCATCGCAAAAATCAGATTACCACTTATGCAGGTAGACATTAATTGCTTTTTTGTTTGTTCACTGAAACCTAAACTTTAATACAGTACACAGTTATTAAATTAGTTTTTCTTTGTAAAATACTATTGGTGCAAATCAAATATTTGATAACAACCTGAAACTTTACAGTTTCATCTAAAATGAGAGCTGTATTGAGAAACAAAAATGAAGTTGAGAAAAAAAAACTACGAGATCTCATAAAAATCTACAATCAGAACCATCCGGATTTGTCTGAAGCAGATGTTTTAACTGGCATCCTTCCATGGCACAATTTATTGCTTCATCAAAACACAAGTGGTATTTACACAAGATCTAATGATTCATTAGTTTTCTCAGCATTTTCAAATATTTATATAAAATTTGTATTAATTGTACTTTTATATATGGAAAGACTGCAATACCATTAAATTGAGTTTGTTTTCTAAAGGTAAATTTTATAGATACAATTTTTAATGATGTTTAATTCACAAATGATTCCCATTATCATAATTTGTCAATCACATACTGTATTTTCATTTTGCATTATAGTGTCCCTGACTGAAAAAAGAAGTGCAGTGGAAAAGTTTGAGCTCCAGAAGAGATGTAGAGAGGAGGAATCACTAACCATTCAAGAAATGATAACATGGTTACAGTACTACAAAAAGAAAAGGGACAAACTATCCGAGTATATTCAAGAATTACAATGTGATTCTTTCCCTTCATGTCTCTGCAAGGTAAGAAATTCAAAATACTTTTTGCAATTTAGATCTTCAAAACACTCAACTCACTTAAATGTGTTCAATTAGTCAGAGTAATATTGCCATCACCTTTCACATTTAAACTATGAAACACTTCCATTTTCAAGAGTGGTACTGTGGAGAATATGGCTTTTATTATTATTTGTATCCTTTTGTTTTACTTAATCTATACTTTTATATATTTGCATTATGTACAACTAAATAGGTACAGTATATATTTGACTCTAAGATGTTTTAAATATTGTATTCCAGGATTCTAACACGTACACAATTGAAAACCCAATTCTGTCAGAAGAAGAGAAACGTGGATTATTGGCTCTTCTCAATCAGGGTCAAAAGCAATGTGCTGACAAGCTTACTGAAGCCAAACATTTATTTAGTTCCTACCAGCCAAATGAGGTCTATGAGCCTTTCTTGGAGCTCTTAGAAAGTGATGAAGATGAAGACATGTATTTACAAAATGAATAGATACAAATGAACAAATCCACAAGGGCCATGATGAGGGTTCGAACCTATGTCCGAGAGGATCCCACACGAGCCTTAATGGACTGTGTTACGACATGGCAAAAGAATTCCAACCGGGAGTTCAACTGACCTCAATCAAAGATTTAAGGCATCACGCTATTGTGATTTCTGTGTTTAACAAATAGATACAAGATAGGCTTTTAAATTTTTAAATTTTTACTTACTTTTGTCCTGTTGCTTGGTTACATGAATTGACCACACAAATTATGTTGCTTAGTTACAGAGATTCTTATAACTACATAAATTTTGTTGTTCATTTATAAGCCCATTATGTGCCTCTAAAAATTTCCACTGCCACTCACAGAATGGGTATGTTGTGCATAATAAATAAACTAAACTAATGTTGACCAGACCACACACTAGAAATTGAAGGGACGACGACGTTTCGGTCCGTCCTGGACCATTCTCAAATCGATTGTGATGAGGACATGTAGGGACAGGCATTAAATAGGCAAGAGAGAGCTGAGGAGGAAAGTCAGGTGTAGGGGATAGTAGTAATGAGAACTGCAGCAGGCCTATTGGCCCATTTTATATATATATATATATATATATATATATATATATATATATATATATATATATATATATATATATATATATATATATATATATATATATATATATATATATATATATACAATACAATACAATACAATTTTATTTAGGTAAGGTACATACATACAATAAATATTTACAAGGATTGTTTGACTTATAGGTAGAGCTAGTACATACAATGCCTAAAGCCACTATTACGCAAAGCGTTTCGGGCATGATAAACTTAAATGACAAGCTTAATACTAATTGAGCATAATGAGTAGAATGAAAACAAGAAATGAAAGAAATGACCCTAGTCGAAAGACAAAGAGCCAACCAAGATGGGAAGAGTGTTTCAAACTTCTCTACTAACTCTCATCATAAACCCCAACGTACTGCAACTACTGTAGCAAAACGAAATTTCAATAAATCATCTCTGAAATGGAAATCTGGAAATGTAGGTACATATACAGTGAACCCTATAAACCCTGTAGTGAGCACCACTCCGACGACTTCTACAGTGAAAAGGTGTTTGTTCTTCAATAATGAACATCTTACTTATAAGTGTAGTACTTATCCACACCATAACACCCGAATTCATCGTTTGCAAGAGTTACACAGATGCACAAGGTGCACGGGTCCTCACGACCCCAGTAGCTGTACAGTCTCCTTACGTATGTGCAACAAGTGCCACAAGGGTAGACACCATTATTCCTTGTGTGGTAGTGATCAATCAAGATCAACCAATCCTCATAAGAGCATTACAAATTCTACTTCTGTACAGTATTGCAAGGTGCATCAAGACATAAGTGTACTTGCAACAGAGTCGAATAACACAACTACGTTACCAACAGCTCAATTAAAATTAATTAATAAGGGATCTAAGATTTCCACTCGTGGTCTCTTTGACCAAGGTTCACAGAAAACCTTTTTTTCTCAACAGCTAGTTGATCAGTTGAAACTGAACCCTATTGCTCGAGTGAATTTGAATATCTCTGAATTCCTAACCAATAGTGGACCTCGTGACTACCAGGTTGTTAAAATCTTGGAAAGTTTAGGAGGCTGCACCAGCCCAATTCAAGCCATAGTTGTTGACAAGATCCCCTCAGATTTACATGTTACAGGTCTTGCTCAAACAGTCAAATTTCTTAAACGCAGCGGTATTAGGCTAGCGGATCATAAAATAAATACAGACTGTCTCAACGATGTAGGTATTCTTATTGGAGCTGACTTTTATTATAGATTTATTACTGGATGCACCAGGCAACGAGGTGTAAACTTGTTACTGTCAGCTGGGGGTAAACTACTCACAGGACCGGTGTTGATCCAACAACATTCTAAATCTACTAGTAATCAATCAACTAATTCAATAGTGGCGTGACTAGGCATAGAGCAGTCACCACTACATGACAGAAACGAAACTGAGGATGATGAGTCCAATCCCCCTGTTCACAAATTATGGGATTTGGACACCTTAGGCATAGTCCCTGATCAACCCAGTCCAGATGACACATGGACGTATCAACAATATCTTGATACTGTGATTTTCCAAGATAATTAATAATGTGTGAGACTCCCGTGGAAGCTGAACCACCCACAGCTTCCAGTAAATTATTTCATGGCCTCAACCCAATTAAATTCTTAATTAGCTAGGCTATGGAAGCAACCAGATAAATTGCAACTGTATCACGCTTTAATACAGCAACAACTTGCTAACAAATGTCGCCGCTCTGCTACCGGAGGGCGCTAACGTTCGGCCCGGGCTGTCAGTGTTGACCTGTAGCTGCTGCGTGGTGGTCGTCTTGTTGACGGTGTGGTGCGGCCATTGGCCGGGGCCTGGCGGGTGTCATGGCGTCGACTAGTGGTGGCCGTGTTCGCCGGGTCGACACCGCCCGGCTTGATTTCTCGGCCCCCGTTGACTGGCCCTTGGTGGAGGTTGCCCTTATGAACGCCATGCGTGTGGAGTACCAAGATCTCTTCGGTGTTGAGAAACTTTCCCCTACCCGGGTGGCGATGACGTTCTCCTCGGCGCAGGTGTATCAGCTGTTTGTGCGTCGATGGGGTACACGGACGCATGTACTTCCAGGTTCTGCTGTGACGGTGGTCTCCGATCCGTGGGGCCCCCTGACGTATGTCAGCGTTCATGGTGCGCCGGTGCAGTTTCCTGAGGATGAGCTGTCCGCCGCGTTCCGTCGGTATGGTGAGGTGGTGGGGCAGCGTCATGCCTGTCTGCTTAGTGGGCGCCTGAAGGGACTCCGTATGGGTGCCCGTACTTTGCGCATGCGGCTCTCTGGGGCTATTCCCTCTCGGGTGGCTGTGTGTGGGTTTTATGTGTGTGTGTTTTACCAGGGGCAGACTCGCTCCTGTTTCCGGTGTGGTGAGGTAGGCCATTTCGCTGCAGCTTGCCGTGCCCCTCGCCCGGAGGACCCATCGGTTTTCCATGCGGATGATTTTCCACTTCTGCCGGAGGCTGGGGCGCCCCCAGTGGGCCCGGGCTCTGTGGGTGTGCCTCTGGAGGCGTCGTCCCCAGCTGTTCCTACCTCTCCGTCTGCTGCTGGGTCCTCTGCTCTGTCTGTTGACTCTGATGCTCTCGCGGCTCCTGCTTCGGGTGCGCCTATGCTGGTGGCGGCGGAGGTACATCGCGACCCGAGTGTCTCCTTGGAATCCGACGTGTGTGGTGTGGTGCCGGCGGGCGACCCGTGTGCAGTGGCCAGTGTGCTTCCCGAGGCCAGGGGCGGTGTTGATACTGTGTCTCCTGAAGGGCCAGCCTAGCGGTGTTCCTGATGCTGGTGCCGTGGCGCAGCCGCCTGCTGTCGCTTGTGCTGTGCCTCCTGTGGTTGCATTGGGCTCTTCTGTTCCTCGACGAAAGCGCACTCCGAGGGATCGGTCGCACAGCAGGGGCCCCCCTGGGAAGAGGATCGAGGCTGCTGGTGGTGTGCCTTTGGCTGGTGCTACTCCCTCCGCTTCTCCAGTGGTTCCTCCTCCCCCTTCGGAAGCGGGATCTGGGGATGAGCGGGGCATTGAGCGTGGTGTCGGGCTCGGGGCGGCGGAAGCAGTGGAGAAACTGTGGATGGTGTCCTCGACGCCTGGGGCGCC